GAACTGGCCTGGCCCCTGTGATTCTCTGCTGGCTCTATGCGGTGACAGCTGGGCCCATCCAGTTCCTGCTGTGTCCTGTGGTCTTGATCGTGCAGCTGGGAAATGGAACTGAAGCAGCAAGGGGAGGTGGGGGAGGGACAGGGAAGTGGCAGAGGGGAGGGGGAAGTGGCAGCAGTGGCAGATGCAGGGGTGGGAAGTGGCGGCGAGTGGGAGCATGGGGCCCGTGTCAGTGCCCTGGGGCCAGAAGCAGCAGGAGCATGGAGCCTGGGCATGGAGGAGTGCTGGTTGGGACTCTGCCTGCCGCAGAGGGGGAGAGGAGGGCTGTGGGCAAACCCTTCCCCTCCACCCATGCCACAACCCTCCACAGCTACCTTCCCCGCCACACTCACAGCCCCCGCACAAACCCCATACCTACCCATACCCCACACCTCCACCCACACACACCCACATGCTTCCCCAGACCCCTACAAACCCCCCACACACTCACACCCTCCTCCACACGCCACATACCTATACACCCACAAACCTATACCCACCCACCCACATCCTCCCACATTATACAAGAGTAAGACTTAATTTTAAGCTATTATACTACTACCTCTATGTACACAACACTAACACATGTAAATCAGGACACAAATATTTTTTTAAATGAAATTAATGAACATTGTAGTACGTGTTTGATTTTTAGAATATAATTTGATATATTTCTGGTTGTGAGATGTCAAACACCCTTGCTGAAAGGAGTGCTTCTGAGGGACAAGAGGAGGGACTTCTGGTGGCAAAGGTCAGGGGTTAGAGGGTGGGACTTCCTGTCTCAAGATAGCAACCAGGGGGGCAGGGTCCCTGTCAAGAGGCGGGGCTACCCTTGCAGCCTTTGATGGCTTTCCAAAACTTGGTAAGTGGCTCTCCAGCCCAAATAATTGCCCACCTCTGCAGTAGGGTCTCCCATGCCAAAAAGGTCAAAGGGTAGAGACCAGACTAAGAGTAATACCCTGGTCCTTCAGATTGGGGTTGGGTATGAGGACAGCAATCTCTTTTTGTGAAAAAAACTCTAATGTTATAAAACCAAAACTAAAGCCCACTTTCTACTTCTAGATAAAAAGTGACTTCACAGAAGAAACTTAGAATTTATAATAGAAAAAGGATACTATAATTATACATTTTGTTGTGATTAAATGAAATCTATCACTTTCTTGTTAGTGAAGAGGCATATAGTTTCTCTCTGCCTTTATACTGGTTGTAGACATCTAAATACATGCTGAGATCCCTGTTGTTACACTGAATTTGTATTACTGCAGTTGGATCAGGTCCATAAAAATGAGTTAATCTTAATTCTTGGTAATATCTAAAACCAAAAGTAACTTATTTTCTACTCCAAGTGGGCTGAAATCAGAACTATGGCCCACAAGCTTTCAGTGCTGTCAGATCGGCATTTGGTAGCTCTGATCCAGTCTCAGTCCAAAACCTCAGCCTACTCTGAATTCAGCTCTCTCTAGACCAGGGCTGTTCAACCTCTAGCCCACAAGCCAGTTCCAGCTCCCTCTGTTGAGTGCCACTGATCTAGACTTTTGTTGTTGCTTGGTAATAATTTTTTAAGCACCAGTTTGTTCATGCTGAAGGAGACAGAGAACAAAGCTAGATCCTGTCCTAAAGAGTTTTTGTGTAATATTTAAATGTTAGGACATGGTGTGATTTTTCTGAGATTGGTGGTATAGTGTACAACTGTCTCAGTCTTTTTCAGCGTAACAGGCTATTGGCTCTCCTGTACTGTGAATCATCCTCTTTTATAAACAGGCCTCAGAAGGCAGGAGTAGTCTTTGGCTGTTGAATTTCTTTTATTCATGTGTCATTCTTTGTGCCTTTTCTGCCTTTTACAGACAGACAAAATGAAAGAGAACTAGATACTGATGAACTTGATGTAGCTGCTCTCTGTCTGTGCTGACAGGTAAGTTTGTAGAGAAACTGCTTTTTCAGACCAGTCATTGGTGTTTGTTCATGTCTGTGGTTTTTCTTTTTTCTCTGAATAAGATTCTTAGGACTGATTTCAAAGCATGCAGTAGCAGCAGAGCTAATAAAACTGGATAGGTGTAACCTGTGATAAAAATGCTAACAACTTAATGAAAAATGTGCTATTTTTTAACTCTAAATTTTGTTTGAATAAAAAAAACTGATAATCAAGCAGAATAAACATCAGACTAATTCTTAAAATAAAGATTTAAAATGAGGATGCGTGGATATTAAATTTTATCTTCATTGAATTCTCCTTCTAGCCTTAAGTTTTTAAGTTTTTAATTTTCTTAATTTTCTTAAATTTTAAAGTTCTTAAATTTTAAGTTTAAGTGATAGAATACTGGGTTACCTAAAATTACAATGCATTCATATTATGCAGCTGAAGAGCTTCCCAGTATTTGGAAATACTGGCTGTTTTTAGTTCATTTTAAGTAGTTTATTGCATTCATTCTCCATTTGCAACTGAACTTGGGGGCAGGGTTAAAAAATCAAATAGCTTTTGAAATCAAATACTTTTAATCACATGAATTCCAGTTTTGTATCAGAGTCTGCATGGTTTTTTTGTGGGATTATTGCACCCATAAAAGAAATCAGGATGGATTTTTCTTCCCCAGGTCAGATTGGAAATAACTATTTGCTTTTTTATTATTTTTAATTTTATTTTGCCCTTACCTGTAGTGTGGCATGTAATCCATTTCTAAGGGGGAGGTTAGATCAAGTTAAAAATGGTCACCCAATCTCAGGTAAATTGGGATAGGAGGACCTGTGGAGGGGAGGTTGGCAGGGATCAGGAGAGGCAAGCAGGCTCAGGGTGAGGATTGGGGGTCTGTGGTGGGATTTGGGGAAGATGGGGTCCATCGGAGGGATTAGGGGAATTGGGAGGACTAGTGGGCTCTGCAGGGGAATCAGGAGGGCCTAGGAGGGTTTGGCAGGATCAGGGTGACTCGCATGGGGACTTGGGGGAGATGGAGGACCTCTCTTCCCCACTTCCAGATCGGGGGCTATTTTTAGTCCCCTGACCTCCAGATAAATAGCCCTCCTCTCCACCATGGACCACCAGTCCCCATCCTGCCTGTCCCTCCCTCCACTCCAGCTTACTTGCTCAGCTCCCAGCACTGGTGAACGGTGTTCAAACTGGTACTAGGAGCAGCTTGAAGGATGAGGGGGGAAGAAGGGAGGAGTGGCTGCATTGTGGAGAGGAGGGGGTGATTGTCCAGGAAGGTGTGAAGGACTAAAAATAGCCAGTGCCAGGGAGGTGGTAGGCAAAGCTCAGCCCTGGGGCTGGGGCCAGAAACTGGGCTTTCCCAGCCCTAGGATTGGCTAACCCAGTATAAATTAAGTATGCTTCAGAGGTAGGGTTAACTTAGATCAACCTAACTAGTGTAAGGTCCATACCGGGGTGAACTAAGTTAGATCAGATGGCCATTTTTAACCTGATCTAACTTCACCCTTACGTCCCTGAATGTCTGTACACAGCCTGAATGTTTTTCCTGTGATCCAGTGTCACTATCAGCTATCTTGTGTCTCTTGCCTAAAGTTTGCTGTGATATCAAGAGCAAACACTGAGATCAGAGTTTCTCTTGTTTGTGAAGAAACAAACAGTTTGACAGTTTCATAACTGTTCCTTTACAATACAAACAGTAGGTAGTATTACCTAGAAAAGATCAAGTGTTTTAGTTGGTTCCAAATAATAGTTGCCCTTATTTTTGGAATTCCAAAATTAAGGTTCAGAATTTCAAAATGAAGATTTTCCAAACGCATTTTTTAAAATTTATGTTTTACAGAAAATTTAAAAAGTTCTTAATTGAATATAGAACTCCCCTGAAATTCCAATGCCCAAATTTAGTCCAAAATGGAAATTTTGCTTTTTAATAATTAATCACTTGTAAATGTATTGCCTGGCTGTACTGGTGACTACATACTACAGTACTAGTGCATACAAATATCTAAGTTATCCTTTCCAATTAGTAGAGATTGATAAATAATGCAAGGGTTCTAGTTTTTTGTATAAATAATGCAAAAATTTAAATAATTTTTAAATGAATTCTTGTTAATGCTCATACCTTTCCTTCTGTTAACATATGAATTGGTATCATGAATTTTAAGTTGTAAATATAAACTCCATGGGAGGTATTTTTAGTGAACAAGTGATGTTGGTTCAGACATTAAAGCCTCAGTATTTACCTTATTTTCTGCTGCATTGGAAAAGGAAAGGTGTATCTAGTCCAACCCCCTGCTTAAAGCAGGACCAAGATCATGATCTGTGAACAGCAATGATTAGGTTAACTTCTAGAGCAGGAAAAAAAAAGATCTAACTTTTTCAAATAATTAATCACACTTTTTTGGTCATCTCTACTACCAATTATCCAGCACAGAGAACTTATGGCATATTGCTGTGGCTTGAAAGGCATGTGTTCAAGCCCTGCTTTGGACTTATGCCAAAGGTTGTCCCCAGTCAGTTGTAAATGCCTATCTGGTCCTTCAAGCTGGAGGGTCAAAGGCATTTGACTGTGATGGTAGACACATTACTCCTTTGTGGCTGCGGAAACTCATATGTCTTAATCATGCCATCATGATAGACTGTTATGAGTAGTCTTGTCTATGACATAAACATTTGGAGAAATGAAAGGACTTTAGCTATGTCCAGCTGAGTCATCTTTCAAACAAATTTGAGGCATAATGAATAGTGGTTGCTCTGGAGGTAACTGTAAGGGTATATATGTAGGAAAAATATACATCAGTGACATTTAAAATTTACCAGATATAGTTTTGTAAGGCCTTTGCTTACCTTCTCATTTTGTGATGCCTTTTCTAATTTTTCTCCATTCATATTTGTGGCACTGATGATTACTGAAAGTGGAAAAGGCAGACAGTCACAAAGGAGAATGCTGTGTTGCTTTCTAATGAGAGGCAATGGAGATGTATAGCAGTGTCTGGTAAAGGCTATAAATCCTAAGGTGCAGTGAGTTTTAAATAAGCAGGAGAATGAGGGTTCCAAGATCTGATCCCGTGACTTGGAGGTCATTGGGCCAGTCACAGTTTACTTTGTTTAAGCACAGTAGTATTTAACACAATACAATTTTATTCTGTATGTGGCCTTTCTGGTGAGCTTTGGAACTGTTCCAGCGAGTGCTGCTTTTGACTGCCACAGGTGTAGGATCAAACCCTACTTGTGAACATTCCCTATGAAATCAAATAATATAATGACACTGTTAAAAATGAGAAATGAGCAAAAGGGAAGATTGCTGGAGAGTACAGGTAAGGGAGGAAAGCTGTTTCCAAGTAAGTTTTGAAACAAAATGAAAAGGTAATGAATCCAAGAAATAGAGGGAAGCTATTCTGGATATGCAACCTTACATACTTGCACTGATCAACATGTGTTAAAGGGAAGATAGGAGGGTGGCTTTAAAGGAGAGAAAGTAAGAAAGGAATACAGAGTACAGCAGAAAATCAGTGCGAGTGTGGCACCCATGCTTTACGTTAGGCTGGAGGTAGTCCACCAAAGCTTTAAAAGTCAGTGGGCAATTCTTTGCTGGAGAAACTGCACTAGGATTACTGGAGTTACATCAGCAGAGAAGCTGGTACCAGACAAGTGGTGCAAGCACCTACTCTGGATTCCTTTAAGAGTCAATTGGACATTTATCTTGCTGGGATCCTGTGACCCCAGCTGACTTCCTGCCCCTGGGAGAGGGGGCTGGACTTGATTAGGGCTGGAAGGGACCTTCCAAGGTCCCTTCCAGCCCTAATGTCTATGAAATCTATGAAGTTTTTTTAAACTGTCTCCTGACCTGGATTTATTTCAGGATGGGAGTGATGTAGTTGCTTTTTGTATGTATGTGTGAGAAGGCAAGCAACAAAATTCTCTGCAGGCTGGCTGTGTCCAAAATCTGGGATCCATATGCAGGGAAAGCATGGAGACTTCTGCTGCTGTAGTTGGGTGACAAGCAATAGACAGTTGTATGAGTGCTTAAGGCTTTGAATTTTAGTTGGTTTCCATTTTTTGAGTTGAAAGAGGGTTAACTGTACAAGTAGGCTCCTTTTATTGAATACTACTTAATAAATTAAATATAATTCTCTGATAACTTTTAGTTAAAGCAGTTTGAGGTTTTAGCTTAACAATTTAACTTAGTCTCTTGGTTTTCTATTGACTCTCTGGTTACCTATAAACCTTCCTGTGGAAAAAAAAATCCAATTTGAAATAAGATACTATAACTGTAGTGAATCACAAGTATATATACAAATTCTACTCTTGTGTGAAACACATCTTAGCCAATACAAATATACATGAGACCACAAAGGTTCTTTTACATAGGCGTATTGCATATCTTCACCTTCTAGAACTGAAAACACTTAATAGATTATGCTGGAAATTTCTATAGCCAGATTATGAACATTTCTTTGTTTGTCTGTTTTCTGGCTTAGGCTAAATTGTACACGTTGGCCACCTTCCTTTCTTATTAAGGACATGTATACACATTTTTCATATGAAATTAAAAAATGTCATACTTTGTGGAAATGCTTGAGGGCTTTGCTTGAAACACCATTAAGCTGAAACAGAATGAGACTATATAAACCTGGCTCAGCTAATGATTCAGGTGGCTGGTCCCCAAGGTATGTCTATGCTATCTCCAGACTGCTTGGGAAGACTGCAGAAAAGCATGGCCTGCTTGCTTCATTTACAAAATGGATGTAATGTCGCTCGTTACAGTGGTGTCAGGTTCATGGTTCATGGCAATAAGCTCACTGATTCAAGCATGATTGCATGGCCAACTTTGCCCAAATAGGGCTATATTAGGACAGTTTCAGGTTGTAGCTGACATGCAGAGCAGGCATGCAATGCTTCACTGCAGCACTGCAGTTTAGTATCAAAGTAGACAAACCCTCTTTGACCACTAATTGATAAAGATTTGTTGGGAGCCCACGTTGGGAAGGAAA